GGGAGGGCGGAGAGGGGCCTTCCGGGCCGGCGGGCTGTCCCACAGGCCCGGGGCCTCTGCGACCCAGCCGGCCGAGGCCTGAGAGGGAGGCCGGGACCACGCCCCCGAGGCGCAGGGGAGCGGCCGCCCCGGGCCAACTGCGCCGCCGCCCGAGCCCCGAGGAGGGGATTCCGGGCACAACAGCGAACTCGCACCCCGCGGCCCGAGGCTGGAGCAAATTCTTCGGTCGGGCCGCGCGCCAGGGCCCCCCGGGCCAGCGAGCCGGGCGCAGCTGGGGCGGCGTGCGTGGGGTGCACGCGTCTGGAGGTGCGCGTTGGGAGGGGCGCACGTGGGTGTGGGGAGGACTCCAGTTCTCGCTGCCCGCCCGGGAAGCGCCCTCCGGCTCCGGCCCTCATGGGGGCATTTCCGGGCCCGGTGGTGGGGAAGGAGGCGAGGAGGTCTCCGCTGTGCTGCTAAAAAGAGCGGCGCAGCCCAGGCGCTGCCGAGCCTGTTGCCAAAAACACATTATACTGCGACATTCTGTAAATGAGATAATGATACATAAACCCGGATGATAGATGTGACGTGCCTGGGATGTCTTCTCTAAATTAGCTGCTCGCATCGACTGCTAATAATGGTGAGTTTATGAAAGCAATTTCTGTGCAAAATGCGAGAGGGTCTTCTTACTCTAATCAGCCTGCCTCGGTTAATGGATGAGGGGGTCAGGCTGAGAATTATTGACACGCCCGTGCCCTTAACCTGTTTCCCAATAAAGCTGATTAGTTTTTGTCAATTCATCAGCTAACCACTCTTGCTGGAACTGCATCAAAGCCTTATTTGCTCAGGGGAAATCAACAAGTCACAGATCAGCTCCATTAAGGGGCTGCAGATCCAGGACTGTCCTGGGGCCCAGGGACACCCTGACGGACCTCACACCCACCCCACCCCACCCCACCCCAGGCGCCCCGAGCGGCTGTCAGCGTGGGCTTCCCCCAAACTTGGAGCACCCTATCACCAATGAGCGTAGCAAAGTTGCTGGGTCTGAAGACTCCCTTCCTTTTCCTCTGAGGGCCAAGGAGAGGCCTCTGCAGCCCGGTGCGTTAGGTTCACTCTTCTGGGCGCTGGTGGTCCAGGTTCCGGCAGGCAGGATCACCTTGGAGGGGAGGGGAATGTCGCAGGCGGCACAGAGTGGAGGGCTAGAGGGCATGAGTGAGGGGTCGCTGCCACACAGCCCTCCTACCAGGGGACAGTAGGGAGAAAAGAGTGGACCCCGGATTCTGCCGGGTCAGCACGGGCCTGAGCGTAGACAACAGGCCTAAAGTCTTTCTTTGGGCGGGATTGCACCTGCACCCTGGGCTGACCCTGGCCTTGCTTAGTGACCTCAGCAAGCGCGCGGGAGAGGGCATCAGCTGCCAGGGAGTGCACCTGGGTCGGGGCTCTCGAGTTGCGGCCTCCACCTGCGCCCCAGGTGAGCTGCAAAGGAGGACCTCCAGGCCTTGGGCTCCCACAGAAAGGAGTGGCAGATGGGCTGCCCACTGGAGGTGACCTCAGCGCCCCGGCCCGCAGGTGGGGGAAGAAAAACGTGCACTGTCCCTTTAAGACCCCGGCCACTGCCACCTCCCAGCCCCATCCCCCCTCAATTTAATTTCATTAAAACAGAGCATGAATATTTCTATTAAACCTAAAATGAAATATGAAGCCATTTAGACTCTGCCTGCACCAATCACCCAGATTTATGACTTTTATTCATCACATCAAGAGCTTGGAAAAATGAATTTTCTTCACCCAGGAAGGAAATAAAACCTCAGGCTTGGTCATTTCCAGAAAGCTGTTAATTTGACCATGTGGTAATTACTTTCACAATTAACTAAAATACAAATCAACTTGACAAATCAGGCTAGTTTATATATTAATTAGCCTGCTTAAATTTATTCATTATGAAAAGACAATTTAGGGGGACCTGCGGTGTCCGTTTTATTGCAATAAATTATTGTTAGGAAGTGGGTCTAATAAAATATCTTAATATTTAAGGATATTGTATATGCGGGGGTGGGGAGATGCCTTTTTGACAATTTCATTTTCCAATTAGTAATTTTGTTGTAATCTGTCTGCGAACCCGGGCCTCCCGGGCGGAGAGGCAGGCTTCTCCCGGCCTGGGGCTGTCGGAGCGGGAGCGGTTGGGTCTGGGCCGCGGGCAGAGGAGACTGAATTCCGCAGGGAGGGCCGGCGGGTCCGACGCAAACGTGGGGCTCCTGGCGGCACCAATCAGCCACGCCGAACCCAGCCCGGGTGCCGCGCTCCCCAGTCCTCCTCCCGCCCGGGGCGTGGCGGCTGATTTAATAGAATGTCGATAGAATCCTTCGATGCCTTTTAGCTTGTGATCTTTATAAATGTCTCTATATTAAATTAGAAAATGATTCTCTTCTCGTTTAATTGTATTCGTTCGTTTCTTATTTCCAATTAATTAGTCCTATCGACGTTGCAATATTTTAAGTGACTCGAGTCCGTTTCCAGTTAGAATATACGGGTCAGCACATGCCATTTTATACCAGACAGAACTATATAATGTGGGTTTTAACTACTCGTCCCTCATCTGTCTTGAACATCTGGCCGGAGTGGGCTGCTTGGCCGCCTGGCAGCTCCCCGGGTAGGTGGGCACCGCTCGGGGTCGAGTCTGGGCTCCCGCAGACACCTCCGCAGCCCGGGGCCTTTACTTGGATTCTCTGGATTTTAAATCTGCTCCCAGCCGGGTGGCCCCGCGGTGAGGACCCTTCAGAGGAGCCCCGCGCCCCTCCTTGCCCACCATGGGGCCGCGGCGCCCAGCGAAGCCCCGCTGGCTCTGGGGGCGATCCCTCCGGGCTCCTGTTCCACTGCCGCCTCCCTCCTTGCAGCCTCGAAAGCCTTTAAAATCATTTTCAGAAACTGGCTTGGCCCCGTCTCTCTGTCCAGTCCCCCTCGGCCTCTTCAGGGGAGCAAACGCCCCTCGCTGAAGGCGGGCACACCACCATCCGACAACCCGAAAGTTCAGCTTGACCGAGGAGGGATCCACCTTTCCTGAATTAACTGACGAATAATTCCTCCCGGGGAGATTTGTGCCGGCGCCCCTCCCCCTGTGCAGTGATTTGGGACCCGCTGGCCTCTGCGCGCCCCCCGAGCCCCCCAGCTCTCCCCGGACCCCCGTCCCAAATGCCTGTGACACGTGGGGGACCCCCCCCACCCAACCGGGGAAGAGGGGCTGGGGGGCAGAGCCCACACCCTTTCCGGCGCTGGTGAAGGAGGGGGGCTCCTCCCCTCCCCCAGTCCCGGCTCCTTCGGACACGCGTTTGCCCCGAGGGTCAGTGGCTTGGCCCCCATGGTGTCCCTGCAAGGTGGGACCTGGATGGCAGTAAGAACCCGGGTCCAAGGGACGATGGTTAGCTCCCTGCGGCTGCACCCCAGTCTGCACCACTGTCCCCTGCCTGTGGCCCTCCGGAGATCCACCTGCCATCTCCTGCTCACCAGGCCACTCCTAGAAGCCTTCCCCAGTCTTAAGGATGGGGGGGGGCAGGGCGGTTCCTTCCAGGCTCCGTGGGGGGGGCTCCCAAGGCTCCAGCCAGAGCCCGGGGCGCCTCTTCTCCGTGCCCTCCAAGGAGGACGAAGCTGCGCCTATTGTGCGGATCCTTCCCTCCCCACGGCTTCCTAGACTGGGAAGTTCTCCCCTAGACACCCCGGGATTCTTCCCCAGATTAAAGAGATCCCCCGGTTTTCTCCTTAAGGGCTGTGTCCTAAAAGTGGCAACACGAGGGGCTTCCCTGGCGGTCCCGCGGTTGGGACTCCGCGCTTCCACTGCTGGGGGCCCAGACTTGACCTCTGGTTAGGCAGCTAAGATTCCACATGCCGCGTGCACTGAGGGCCCGTGACACTGTCCCAGCCCCTCCGGGCATCCTCCTGCCACAGGCTCTGTTGAGGACCCCCTTGCACAGGAACTTCAAGCCCCTCCCCTCCAAGCACCGGGGGGTCCCGACCTTTAGGTCTGCTCACTGAGTGCAGGGGAGGGGTTTGGGGGGAACTTTAACATCGTGTGTCCGGGCCTTAGGGGCCACGGGAAGCCAGATTAGAGAAGTTAGGGTCTTGCCCAGGGTCCTGTGGCAGCACTGGGACCTGTCTTCTGACCCCCAGCCACGCTCCTTCCATAAGTCAGCCCTCTGCCGAGACACCTGCTCCCAGGGAAAGACAGTAGCTGGCAGGGTGTGGGCTTTACTGCAATGCATTTCTTGAGGAGAGAGGAGGTCTTTAGGTCAGTTGAAGCTGGTAGCCCATTCCTTCCGCAGCTCTGGCTGAGAGGCGTGTGTGGGGGGACCCTGCGATCCGGATGAGGCTGGAAAATCTCCACCACAGCAGCAGATCAGCCTTTCCCAGGGGGTGTAAAGGGCAGGCCATCTCCTTTGATTCACCCTGAATCCTTCTGCTGGGTAAAAGCAAATGAGCTCACCTTGTCTTTCTGGTTATTAGCTGGGACTGTCTACTGACAAGTTAGAGGGAAAAACAGTCCTTGGCCATACGTAAGAGAGCAGTAGATGGCAAACTCTGCAGACATCTGCCTGGCCCCCTCATCCACCCTGAAGTCACGGCCATGCCTGGGGCAAAGTGGATGGACTTTATTTTCATCTCTGCTGTTTAGTCTGAACGTGGTCAGAGTGTGGCCAGAGTTAGGCCAGCCAGGGGCCCAGGGAGCACAGGTAACCTCTCAAAGTGAGTTTTCTGCCGGACAAGTATGTGAGGACTCACTGAAACTGTACTCTGGAATACCCGCCCCCTCCCCGGACACATTTCCTGCTGCAGCCAGGGGGAGGAGTCCACACTGGCTACTTAACACGATCCAAGTCAGCAAGTACTTACTAAGCCACTTTGCACAACCACCTTGATACTGAAGGATAAAGCAGTAACTTAAAATACCTTTCTGTGCTCAAGGGACTTAATTGCTTCTTAGGGGAGGAAAAAGCTTGCACAGCTGAAACAGTTAGAAACACCATCGAGGAACTTCCCTGGTGGTCCAGTGGTTAAGGCTCTGCACTTCCAATGCAGCGGGCTCGGGTTCGATCCCTGGCTGGGGAACTCAGATCCCACGTGCCGCACGTTGCGGCAAAAAAAAAAAACCTGAAACACCGTCAAGTCATGCACAGTGGGGGCACCTGGGGGGACCAGCACTTGGTGGATGCAACCCTACAGTCTGTATGATGGGATGTATCACAGAATGTCTTTCCTAGGGTCCTTCCAAAGGAAAGACCTCAGGCTGCATAGCAAACCTTGTCGGAATCTTATGTTTTCTCTGCATCTCACCCAACAGAAGCATGACTAGTCCTGCTGTGGTTTCTCATTTTATTAACTATTTCCTTGGCAATTTGCTAATTTCCTTGGATCTCAATTTCATCATCCATGAAAAATGTAATTTGCCATCCATCCTCAAGGAGGATGGGTGAGCATCATAAAATCATCAAACAGAAGGGAATTTTTTTTTAACACTTGTGGGTTTTTAGTATGGTGGAAGTCCAGTGGAGAAGGGGTAATTTAAATTGCTGGACAGTCTAGTATAGCTGCCATATGTGGTGTTATGCCCATTTTGCAGGGAGGAGATGGAGGCTGGGTACTTCTGTTCCTTTGCCCCCAAATCATGCATCCAGCAAGTGGCAGAGCCAGGATTTGAATCTAGACCTGTGTGGTGCAAAGCACAGATTCTCTGTGCTTACCCTTGTTCCTGTAACAGCTCTCGGTAGGAATGTCTTTGCGACAGATGTCTGCCTCCTGTCCTAGTGCCTCGTAGCGGAGAATTTACCATTGTGCACAGGGACAGTTTGACCACTCAGCAGGATAAAGCGTCATATTTCTGATGAAAAGCCAAGCACCATTGCTCTGTCAGCCACTCGAGAGGTGGAATTCAACCACCAGCCCACTAGAACACCCCGCCAGGCCCGGAGCACTGAGAGGACCAATGATGCAGACCAGTGACAACTTGCTGAGACAAGCAACCGAGTGCCAGGGCCACACAAGGCAAATGAGCAGGTTACAAAGCTATGCCTTGGTGCTGGGAAGGGGAGAGACAGCAGCTGGAGAAACTTCAGGCTGTTCTCCATTTCACATATTAAATGCAGCAAAATTGGGCTTCCCTGGTGGCGCAGTGGTTAAGAACCCACCTGCCAATGCAGGGGACACGGGTTTGAGCCCTGGTACGGGAAGATCCCACATGCCACGGAGCAACTAAGCCCATGTGCCACAACTACTGAGCCTGTGCTCTAGAGCCCACGAGCCACAACTACTGAAGCCCACATGCCTAGAGCCCGTGCTCCGCAACAAGAGAAGCCACCGCAATGAGAAGCCCGCGCACCGCAACCAAGAGTAGCCCCCGCTCGCTGCAACTAGAGAAAGCCTGTGCACAGCAACGAAGATCCAATGCAGCCAAAAATTAAAAAATAAATAAATTTATTTTTTAAATGTAGCAAAATTAAATAAGGAAGTGGTTCTCAATACTGGTAGGTAAATATTAAACAGAAAGACAAAGATAAAAATTTAAAAGCCAGGGCTTCCCTGGTGGTGCAGTCGTTGAGGGTCCGCCTGCCGATGCAGGGGACGCGGGTTCGTGCCCTGGTCCAGGAGGATCCCACATGCCGCAGAGCGGCTGGGCCCGTGAACCATGGCCGCTGAGCCTGCGCGTCCGGAGCCTGTGCTCCGCAACGAGATAGGCCACAACAGTGAGAGGCCCGCGTACCGCAAAAAAAACAAAACAAAAAAAAACTTTGGAAATTATCCAAATTAAATAAATTATGGTTGATCCACACGATGCAAGAACTGAAGCCACTGACGACCACATTATAAAAAATATCTAACAGCATGGGGAAATGGTTATAATGTGTTCTTAAGTGGAAAAAATAAAACAGGCTATAAAAGAAAGTATGTACGACATACTACTGATTCTGTTAAAGTCCTGTTAGTATGTGTGTGTTTATGGGTGTGTAGAGGCATTTATTGCTTTAGACTACAGTATCCATCCCACATTCTTCTTGATAACAATTCTCCAACTTTCATCTGGTGTCCATACTTTTCCTACACAGCCTATGTGCTCAGACAGAGTTGCTCCAGGGGTCACTCAGCTCCTGGGGTGAGTCTTGTCTGACCTGAGCAAATCCCCACTTCCACAACTGGATCAGGGATGGGCACAGAATTCAGGACCATGAGACAGACATCGGAACCACTACAGGCCATTTCTGCTCTCACAAGAGAACTAGGCTGAGGCCAAAGCCAGGGCAAAGAGGAGGCACCAAAAAAAAAAAAAAAAAAAAAAAATTTAAAAGCCAAAATCAAAACCACAAAAATATGATCAACAAAATGAAAATCATAGCCAATAGGGGGAAAAGAAAGATGTTTTTAAGATCTTCAGAATTGCCTTCTCTGGCCATGTCTCATAGTGACCTCGGGAAGGGGAGGGGTGGCTGCGGGGGCCAGGTGGCTTCCTGGCCCCCCGCCCCGTCGGTGCAGCTTCCCAGGAGGCAGGTCCCTATAAGCTGTGGAGTGGTTGTCGCCCCTCTAGAGGGCCAAGCACCCGGGAATGGACTTCGGCAAGAGCTAGTAAAATCTGAGCAATGGACAGGCACCCGGCAGCTGGGAAGGGGGGTGGAGGTGGGGGGGATTCAGGCCAAGGTAATTGTGGAATGCTGCTGAATGCGAGGTGACATGTGAGGCGAGGCTTTAGTGTTTGTCTGGGGGGCATTAAAATACCGTGAATCATTGACAAGAAACCAAACAGTGCTGGATCTATGTAACAATTTGAACACATATTGCCCCAAGTAAAATCCAATTAGAAGCCTTTCCCCAATTAGATTATGCAAACTCAGATTACACGGAGCACAAACAGTGATGATCCCTGTACGCCCCGAAGGCAGCCCGCACCTACACCTCACACAAACTGCAGATACTCTGGAGCAGGCCTGTCTCAACACCCAGGTTGTGTCAACACTCTCCCTCTAGATAATAAATATGAGACACCGCACACACTGCTTTTAATTGCATCGATAAACTGGGATTAACCCCCAAGGCAGGCTTCACTATTGCAATTAAATGTCCTCAAATAAATTGTTTCCTCAATAAGCAAATGGAAGGGACTGTGTTTGCCCTGAATAATAACAGGTATAATATTTTACTGGCTAAAGTTAAGTATTAAGTGAAATCGCGTGCGGCCCTGATTTACTCGCTGAGATCGGAAAGTCATTTTTCATGCGTCCTGTGCTGCATCAGTACTGTATAAACAACTAATAACGCACTAAATCAACCCAGCACGACCTTGCATTTCACCTAAAGCCACCAGGCCTCAAAAACCTTGGCACCGAGTGTTCTTGAGATGAAGAGAACAGCCTCCTAGAAGGAGGCTGAGGGACTGCTTTGGGGGTTTTGTTTTTAGCTTCTAGGATTCAGAAGTTGAGTACTCTGTGAAAACCCACTGAGTCATTCAACAACCCTGTGGCGCTTTGTGGACGTGTGTTCTCTTTGGCTTTCCTGGTTGTAGCAGAAGGAGCTGCAAGGGGGGGCCGAGGTGCCAGGCATTGTGCCCTTCTCCCCTTCACGGGTCACTTGCACAGGAAATTGTTAAGACCACGATTTCCCTTTGGTCACAGGAACACTCACCTCAGTTTTGGTGTTTTGTTTTGTTTCTTTAAAATTTTTTTGAAGATGTTGGGGGTATGAGTTTATTAATTAATTTATTTATTTTTGCTGTGTTGGGTCTTAGTTTCTGTGCGAGGGCTTTCTCTAGTTGTGGCAAGCGGGGGCCATTCTTCATCGCGGTGCGCAGGCCTCTCACTATCGCGGCCTCTCTTGTTGCGGAGCACAGGCTCCAGACGCGCAGGCTCAGTAGTTGTGGCTCACGGGCCTAGTTGCTCTGCGGCATGTGGGATCTTCCCAGACCGGGGCTCGAACCCGTGTCCCCTGCATTAGCAGGCGGATTCTCAACCACTGCGCCACCAGGGAAGCCCCAGTTTTGGTGTTTTGATGGGGGAGGGACAGGCATATTTCAGTCTGTGTGTTGCCCTTTATTTCTAAGGCAATAGGGAAGGGAGAGGGTAGTTCGTGTCCTGGAAGATTGCGGGTGAAAATCATATTAGTTCTGAAATAACGAGCATGTATTCGTCTAGAATAAAACTGGATCACGTAACGTTCTTATTCTGTCTTAAGGCAGGCCAGCATTTTCCAGATGGTGAGTGGTGATTTGTTAGAACTGGGACTCCTAAAATGTACTGTTAGTTGTCCATTGAATTTGGTCTTTTTGAGTGTATCTCTTCTTTCCCTCTGATTCCCTGACCAAATATCTAGTAGTGAGAATTTGTAATCCAAGCCTTTTGGTGTTCATTATAAATCTACTTTAATAGATTCATCTGCATATAACCTTTCTCTGATTTATTTAGTCTGTTTAAGAACAACTTTGCAACATGAAAGACCTCTCTCATTTTTCTCTATAAACCTTATGCTTGCACACCAAACTGTATGTTAAAATAATGCGTTGCTTTTTGAAAAATCAGTTGAGTACATATTGAACTTCTAGTCTACCTGACAGAGAGAACACACATGCAGTGCTGAGCTGGGGTAATTCCAGTTCCAACCAGAGATTCTCAGGACTTCAGTTAAGGCAGAGCCTCGTGGGGAGAAAATGCAGGACTTCTGTGAAGCTTCTTGCACGTTGAAATCATCCAAAAGACACCATCCTCCCCATGACTACCTCCTTCGATGCCTGGAGACCTGGGGATTCTAGGCTGGGACTTACTGATTTAGTTAAAGTGCAATTTAGGATACACTTTATTAATAGTCTCATCATCAACATCACCATCACCCTAATCTTTTCAGTCTTCACCACATCATTCTAAATGATTACCGAGCCACACTTACTTTTGGTTAGTGAATCTTTCCCACTTATATTACCACAAGGGGAAAATGCTTGCTTGGCTCCTACACAGACAAAAAACTATGCATAGGAGTCATTGCATGCCTTAAATATATCAGAATGACCTTCCTTTGAACGGATACCCTATAACTTAAGAGGTGAAGAGAGTTTGGTTTTCCCAATCTGTTAAAAA